GAGTTTACTGCACTGTTTGATAACTAGGATCAATTAGAATGTAGGAATAACAATAAAAATAACTTCATTTAAGTGCCTTGAGTTGAGGTGTTGTGAATTTGCGCTACATAAATAAACTGAATTGAACTGGATGAATGGACAGACTTTTTTGACAAGGAAAAAGAGAATAAAGTCTACAAATACAAATTTCTTCGATTTGTAAACAAACCTTTGAGAGAAATATTTAGGAAATAATAATAATAATAATAGTAATAATAATAATAATAATAATAATAATAATAATAATAATAATAATAATAATAATGAAGAAGAAGAATTTGTTTATTTAAAAATATATATTTTAATATTCCCTCCCTCATTTATAAATAAGGAAACACATCCCATAATGTTTGTTATGTCATTAGAGTTAGCATACATCAGACTGGGTGACGGACTGGCGGTTAGTGACAGAAAGTCTGGCTTTACGCTTTGTTTTACTTACTTTTTAAGGAAAGCTGACAATGCCTTAACAAACTCCTGCTGGTTGACATCCTTCACCGTCACGCTGGGCATCTAGAAAAACCAAATGGAGACAAAAGTGAGCTGATAAAATTGTTTTAACATTAGAGACCTGTCGCGGCTGGGATGTGGCGCGTGCCGCAGCCGTTGGAAACGGTCCTCTTGCTAACCACTAGCTTAACTTAACCTAGCTAAAGAGAAGCTTCTGTCTATATTCGTCTTTTAAGTATTATTTTACGCCAAGAATCATACTTTTATGATATAGTTTAAAGACGCCAGGAGGGCTCTGCGGTCTCAAAGTGTCCCCGTTTAGTCGAAGCTAACGCGGCGGAGCATCTGAAGAAAATGATGCTGATAATGAGGGATGGAGGAAGACTGTCCGCATAAGAAAAGGATGACACCATGAGTGCATTCAACACACCTTCAGGCTTTAATTTTACTCTTAACCTCTCCTTTTAAAACCACCTTAAGGATAATTGGATATTTCTCTTTATTCATGTGTGAATTATTTTATCAAACTGATTAAAAATAATGACGTTTAAACAAGCTATTACATACAAAAAATATCAAGTAATTCCGGTTGTATTCCAGCAGAGGGTAGTGTTGTGTCTTTTCTCTTATCTTTCTTTTCCCCCAACAGATTCGAGAGCTCTTTTGAGGACTGCGGTACAGACGGCAACAGAGGAGAAGTCGTCTGAGTGAGGAAGACAACACAAGAGGGTCAGTAACTCTATAATATTTGTAATAAAAGTTACTATTCCTGTCTGGAAATACACTTGCTATGTTGTATTAGCTTGTTGAAAGGAGCTACACCTCTTTTTAGGGGTGATTTACTTGCAGTTTGTGTGTTTTTGTTGCAAAAAGACAGTTTACAGCAAATTATTTTGAGTTTTAAAGCATAAGAGGGTCTTAGCATTTTAAAGAAGATAAATCTTTTCTCATTTGGTACTGTTTGCTTTGATCAATGGCCATTTTTTTCAGACTGAGACTAAGTCACAGGCCTCCCTTTGCCAGGATGAATGCTACCTTTCAAAAACAAAGAAATAAGCACTGGGTGTTTCTAGGGATTTTCGTCATTACAAATGTCATACCTAATTCACATTTATGAGAAAATACAGTGTACACGAACCCAGCCAATCAAACTTCTAGGTTTTACCTCTTTTTCTTTGCAACCTCTTCTTTTTTTTCTTTTCCTTTACTTTTTTACTTATATTCCTGTCTTCATAATATCTCTAAGTTAAAGTCATTGGATTGTTTACCAACCTACAAGTTTATTAAGTTTGTAGGTGATACTAAACAGCACCTAAAAATGTGCATTGAACAGACTTTAACTGTGTTTTCAATACTGTGAGAGCACCTGCCTTACATCTCTGAGTTTATGTAATACACCTTGTGTAAGTTTATATCTTTAGTTGCAACTTGTGTGCCTGGGTACATGGAAATTATTGTGCAAAGATGAGATAAACAGCTTTGCACACAAATAAAAACTAAGGAGCAATAACTAATGTGCTGATTAAAATGAATTGTGCTCAAATTACAATAATATGTGATTAAAATATATATTGTTTTGAGATGAGATAATTGAGTGTATTTTTGCTATTTGGGATTTTAGAATAGCTTGTAGAATATTTTTCCATTTTGTGGATAAATGTATAACATTGAAAAGTAATTAAAAGTTAATAGTTGCGATTACTGTTTATATAATTAGACTGACTGAAATGAATTAAAAATTATCATTTTAATTAATTTCTTTGGTGATATGATACACATATTGGCAAAACTAAAAATATTTACCTAAATGTATTTATTTTCTGCATATATACCCTTCCAATTAACAGGATTATAATCTAATAATTAGAGGTCAGTTTTGTTAATTTGTTTATTTAACAGGAGCAGAGCACTTTAATAAACAGCTTAGCAAATGTGCCAGAGTTTCCCAAAAGCTTAGCTTTTTGCTGTCTTTACAAAAGCGTCACAGAGTTCCCCTAAAATTTAATTCAAACAAACAAATAAACAACAGAAACAACACATAAGCACAACTTTCACAAATCATAATCAAGCACCATTTAAACCCTAACCTATCTCAGACTGGCAAAAAGATCAATTTGAATGGATCGGTTGCAACCTGAAAACTCATTCAGGTCAAATATTCTTTAATATAACTATAATAATGAAACAACAAAGGTTTAGAAATGGTGAGATTAGCATCTAAAATACTAACAGCTTTTATAATAATAAGCATAATCTAAAAGCATGATAAAGGGATTTTATGAGTAACTACTGCCTTCCTGTCAAGATAAAAATAATTATAAATAGAGAATATGCTTAGGGCTCATAACTTAGGCAGATGATTTGAAAATGTATATCTAATTGGGGAAAAATAATTGCTAAATGTCTATATATATGTTCATTTTAGCATTTAAAATAATCATGTGGTAGCCGTTCGTACCTGATAACATCTGAAATGTGGGGCAAGTGTTTTCGGCTCGTTCAGCTCTGACCTGCTGTTCAGCCTCTAACAGCCGTTTCTGTGCCAGTCCAGCTACGGCACAGACTGCAACGTCTAGGCTTCACTTACTGAAACATCTCCTCCAAGACTAAAGAAAACAAAGCGCTAACAGTTTGGGTTATTTTTTTTTTCCTTTTTAGTAAGTAAATGTAAACAGAGCAAACACAGAAAGCTCCCCTCTGCGTTTCTTTCACATTATCTGTTGAAGTAGCTCAGATATCACCTTCGTCCATCCATACCAAGATGACAAAATGACAGAAGTGTGTTGGGACCGCACTTTGCTAGATATAGTGTAGTTTTTTTGATTTGTGCCTAACACATTTTCAAACATATTTTCTGATTTCTTTGGTTGGGTTTTGAATTGAATCCGCAATCAAAAAATAGCAACAGATGTATCATATAAGTTATAGTTTGTGGAAACTGCTGCTTTTATTACTGCTGCACGCACTCCTTTTACACAATAAAGATAACAAAATAAACCAAGTAGAGGAGAAATCAGTACTTTACTTCACTGTACATTTTGTGTCCATTAATGTTTAATTGAAAAACAACAGATACCTACTGCACCTTGCTGTTCTATATTTAAAAATATGCAACATAATTTAGCTATGCTACATTTCTCATTGCATTCATTGTATTTATTTTCTGTCCGATAAATCTGCAATGCAAAAAAATTTTCATACCTTCTGTAAGAATACTAAGAAGTCTAGTGCTATATTCTGTTTCATAAATAAAAAATATATTCTTTTAATAATGTACAAATATTTAAAAAATATAAACAATCAAAACTTAAATAATAAATTTAACAAAGTCAATTTTTAAATATTGAATAGTGATAATTCAGCTTAATATGGAAAATGTGCTTCATGAATAAATCTGGGCTTCAGTTTTCTGCTTTGTGAAATAAATTTACAAAAATGTATTTTTATGACCTTGGTAGTTTCTTAAAGACAAACACTGAACCAGAAATTAAACTGTAATTCTATTTTAGCTAATAGTGTGCAACCACATGAGATGTTTCTCTGGGATATTTCAACAGATTGGTGCAAAAAAATAGTAAAATAAATAAGGCAACAAAAACATTTTAACACAAAATAAATTATACATGAAAAATAACTCCAACAATATTTAGAGCATAACCTTAACAGAAGGCAGCTTGAGGCGGAAACTGTGGAACAATCTGGTAGTTCTGCTTCTGATGTTATGGTTCCATATTTTTTATAGAAATAATTCAAAAAGTTCATGGAGAATGTGTGAGGAGTGTCTAAGAATATTGAGAGCCATGTATTTGTAACAAACCTCCCAGATCCCCTCTCTATCTTCTGCCATGGTGATGTTCAACATGATTGATTTCTAATATTTTTCTAGGTACTAATATAAAATTTTGTTTTTGTTTTTCCAGAAGCTAATGTAGTGAAAATTTGATACAAAATGACAAAAAATATAATGTCAGCAAAAGCAACTAATGACATAAAATCTTAAATAGAAAAGTTAGGCTTTCAAAACTGTTAAAATTGTTATTAACATGGTTTATAGCAGGGGTCCCCAAACTACGGCCCGCGGGCCGGATCCGGCCCGCCACGTCATTTGGTCCGGCCCCCTGAACAATGCCGGATCCGGCCCGCCTGCTCATACCAGAGAGCATTCAGTGTTTTTTTTCATATATTGTATTTTCCGGTTTATATGTGGATTTTTCTTCAACCACCAGGGGGCTTTTGAGCAAATGTGAAACTTTCCCTCAATGGAATATATACTCGTCAGTCACCGTTTCACTCACGGTTTTTTCCATTTGCATTCTGGGTAAAAATCTATCCAAAAGTGTCGTCGTTTTTTTTTACTGCAAAAACTAAGACCGGCCCCCGACCACAGAAAGGAACAGCTATGTGGCCCTCGCAGGAAAAAGTTTGGGGACCCCTGGTTTATAGTCTTTTGAATAAGATAGCAGAGAAAGTCTGAGAGTGCCTGAATGTTTCTGGGGGTAATGTAGTGCTCCCAGTCCCCACCTGTTACTGTGCACTGCTGCTGAGCTGGCTGAAAGAAAGCCACTAGACATTTTAAGTGTTTAAAAATACATCCAGACGTAAACATAAACAATACATGTGTTAAAACCTAAAGCAGGCTACCCTTCACTCCTGTCATTTAAAAATCAACACTGCAAAAAAAAAAAAAAAAAGTTTCCCAATTCATGTTTTCAAAATTTAACAGGTGTCTATTCCCTTTTTAACTGTATATGTATCAAAGCCAAATTGCAGACAATGCATATTTGAATAGTTAAAATGTTAAATTATTTTTGCAGCAATTTGAATAATTGTTATTTTTCTGATTGAGATTAAGACAGTTACATAAATTTACATATTTTTGCTTAAATTTTTGGTGGAAATACTGTGATTTAATGACACCTTGGTGTTTTTACTCAAAGTTATTTCACAGTCAATCTCATACATATTTTTTTTAACTTTCTGATTTAAAGCAAACAACTCTTATATCTTCAAGTAAAGAGAATAAACACCCATTAAAGCATTAGGGGTGGGCATTTATCATATTGTTTATTATTATTTATTCTGATACATTTCTTGTTATAAGTATTTAGATTTTTGTTGTCACAATAAATCCAATTAAAAGTGGCAAAAGCCCTTAAAACTGTCGGTACTGTTGATTTTACTTACAACTGCTTGTTCAATAAGAGTATCAATAAATGTCCATACATTTGAAAATATGATTAGATGCAGTTATTGCGAGCAGTTTAATGATATAAATAACAATTCTTTATGTGACTGTTGTCCTAAATAACTTTAGTATTTTTATTTGTGGGATTATTAATGCTCTCTCATAAAGTCACAGCAATATAGTTGCTTAAAACAATAAGTAATAAATAGTTCTTATCATCACTTTTATTGTTATCACAATAATATTGTAAAATATTGTGATAAATCTCCTACAAAGCATATTTTTCCTGCAAAGTTTTTGCCTGGTTTTTAGAACTTTAAGCAGATTTTACAGCCTTGCACGATGTGCTTAGGGTATTTCAGCTGTTTCTTTGTACTGAAAATGCAATATATTAGATTTCTGTTATCAAATAACCGCAACTAAATCAAACGTCGGATGAACATGCGTACGAACGTGAGACATGTTCACATGCAGGACACACACCCATAAACACACTCCGTGCTCTCTGTGTCAGCCCGTCTAAGCTTCTTCCCCTCCCCCCTCTCTCTCAGCTCAACATCTCTCTCCCCTTTTTGTCCCCCTCGCCCTCTCCTTTTCCCTCCCCTCGCGCTCTCCTGCCTGCTAGCACTATTTCAAGCCTCTGCCGAGGAATGAGGGAGGGCGAGCGAGGCAGAGACACACAGATGCGCAGTTAGAGAGAGGGAGAGCGGAGGGGAGGGGAAAGCAGACAGGATTTAGAGTTCAAGTGCACGTGCAGAAAATAGGGTGAATAGAGGCTAGCCGGACCAGAAAGGAAAGCAGGAACAGGAACGGCAGGAGCTAGAGACGAAGCCCACACCGACTCCTTCGAGAATGGGAAGGTATAAAAGAAAAGCACAAAAGATTTATTTGTGTGTGTAAAAAAATATATATATATATATAAATATATATTTTTCTACTCCTTCCCCCCTATTTCTCTGGGTCCTCTTCAGACTGCCACACTCCTCCTCTATCCCTCCCTATTGGATATTTCTCCATTAACCTCCAGTCTCTCTCCTTTCTCTCTGACTCTCCTTTCTCTCCCCTCCCACCTCTTCACACATGCACACGCCCCAGACTCCTTCCCACTCATTTCCCTCACGCGCCCTTACTATCCACTTTCACTGGAGACCAACTGCAATCCGCTTAGGGTTTTTTTTCTCCTCTTCCTTTTACTTTTCTTTCCGCATGCCGTTATTTCCCTTCAGTTATCCCTTCATGTACGGAGGCACCCCCCTCTCAGACGCCGCACTCTTACTATGTGTGGCGCCCCTGAAAAAAAATGTAGGCCGTGGATTGTCCCCGCATTAGACTGCATGCCACAAACCGCTTTTCCTATCCTGTCAACATTTTTTGTTTTTTATGTTTTTGCTTCTCTTCTGCAGTATTTTTATTTATTTTTTGTTCGGGAAATCGCTTTCTGTGCAGTAATCTTTTTCTAAAGTCGTGTGTGCATTGAAAAGCGGAAGCTGGGAGTTGAAGAAAGGAAAATCGTGTGTGTGGACATGTGAAGAAGATAGAGGCAAAAAAAAGGAAAGAAAGAAAGAATGAGGGGGAAATGGAGAGCATGGTCTGCGGTAGAAAGCATGAAGGACAGGCAAAGAGAGAAAGAGTATCAGTACTGGCAAGAAAAACAGGAGGAGGAAGAGAGGAACGAGAGGACCATAAAGGGGGGGATTGACTCAGGAAGGAGGGACGGCCGGATAGGAATTGGTAAAATCATTAAAAAAAAAAAAAGAGGTGGAAAAAAACTCCTGAATTAGAAGAAACTGGACGTTTCCTCAAACTCAGACTTTCACTCTCTGGTTTTTCTTCATCACTTCCCCGATCTTTCCTCTCATTCATTCGTAAGTATGCAGCATGTACCTGTCCTTTTCCTCTCCATTCTTAAATACTTTATCCCTTCTCACTCTCCTGTTTTTTGTAGTCGTTTGTTAAAAAAAAAGTCTGTAAGTTGCCTCTCCCCCTCCATCCGTCCATCTATCCCTCGCTCTTTTCCCTCCTTCAGCTCCCTCTGTATCTTGAGTCTTTGCTCGTTCTCTCCCCTCCAAACACACACCTCTGCTCACATTCAGCAGAGCTCTGTGTTCTCCGAATACACTTGGTTTCAGAGGGGCCCATGAATGGGAGGCTAGCTCGCGGAGGATTCGGGGTACGTGCATTTGTATCAGTCATGTGTATTTTTGTGTCCGTGCATGTGTGTTAATATGCCGTGGTGTGATTTGGAGTTAATGGAGCCGGCAGTGTCAGAGGGTCCTCCCTCCGACGCATGCGTGGATCCACAGAGCCGTCCTTCATATTTCAGGATTTATTGGGCTGTGTTGTTATTGATGAAATGCACAGAAAGGACACATGAGGTGTTACATTTGTGAGAGAAAAATGTTTAATAGTTACCTCAGAGTTTTAGTCGCTTATCCAATATTTTGTGGGGGGTTTTCTCACAAAACCTCCATCCATTCATCCGGGTATCGTCAATCTATCCGTGTATCGCTGCATGTGATTCATCATTACCGTGGAAATTTATGGTCGATTTGTTCCAGGGTTTTTTTTATTAAATATGTGTTGAAGGGAGTGACTTTACAATTTTATACATCTAAGTGCAATTAAAATGAGTCTTGATATTGCTTAGGTATTGTAACAACATTAAATGATATTTTTGTTGTAAAATAATGTCAAATATTTCTGCCTCAAAAATCCGAAGGCGTCTCTGTCCCTCCGTTTTTCTCTCTTTCTTCCCCTCTCCTCCGTTATTCATCTCTGTGCTCTGCCTCCTCTTTTATTTACACAACCAGGTGTTATCTCTGCACAGTGATATTTTCTAACTCCACCGTCGCTCTTTGTCATTGTTCTGAGCGGAGGACATCCACGTGTTGTCCTCGTTGTTTTAGGGTATTCATATCTTGGACATGCCATCGTTGCCCCCCCTCCATTTAAGCTATTTAAGCGTCATAACTTGAATCATAAAAGCATGTTCTTCTAAAATTACTTTAGATCAAAAGCAGTCGAGTCATTTTTCTCTTTCCAGAAGATAAAAACGATGCCAAGATCGTTAGATAACAGTCACTGCCCTACTTAAATTATGATAGTCAGTGTAAGGAGATTCGATTCTTATGCATTCGTTGAATTAATACACAGTTATTTGAGCTTTGTAGGCAGAAGGCTGCTCTTCAATTTATGGGAGCTTTTGTTTAGTCGCATCCTTAGGTCAGCCTTCTTCTGACCTCCATTCTCATGTCAGCAAAACTCAAAGCATGTTCAGAGAGATCAGTCTTCCTCCAAACCCTCGAAATGCTGTTATTTGTTTCTAAAGCTCAAATTTCTGTCTGCGTTTCTTTGCTCTTTTCGATTCCACATCCGAGGGAACTTAACGCTTCCAACCGTATAGTGGGACCCCCAGGTTATGAAATGTTACTCAGACAGGCCTGGTGTTATGTAATCTTACATAACCGAGGCGGCAGCTCAGCAGGCTCGTGATCTGAGCCTCTGGAGGAGAAGCTATATGGGTCTGCTTATGGTATGAACTCGCTGACAGGGTCAACACACTCTTGAATACCTGGAACTTAAAGGGGAAGAAACCTCAACGCGATACTGCAGCATCTCTACAAAAAGAAAAATGGAGGAACTAGCTCCCCCATTCCTGCTTAAGCTTTACAATTTCTCTTGTTTTCATCATTAATACATATTCAACTTGTATTATTTTAAAGAACTCTGCTTTTACATAACCTTTGTTTCTGCAGATGTATAAGAGACTGCAACCCGGGTTCGTTCCCATGTTTCTATAGCAGCTTTCTATGAGTCTAGTGTGTTTCTCATTCATAATTGATGACATCCAACCGCAGCATACATTAACGGATTGAACATACCTCAGGAATTCCCATGCAAGCTGCGATTGTGCGTCGCAGGTCTGACTTTAAGCTGCTCAGTTTGTGTCCTTGTAGCTCAATAAGAACAACTAAAATGTGCTGCAGTAACTGAAGATGTGGGCTGTGTGTCACTGGGACCAGTAATGCCATTGACGTTTTAAAAACCATAGTATGTATAAACAGTGCTGTACAAAAGTATTCAACCCCTTGGATTTTTTAATGTTGTATGTCACTGGGATATTTTAAGATAGACCAACACAAAGTAAATTGTAATTATGGCATTCAATGTTCTTTTTCCAAATTAAATCTGAAAAATGTGGCATGCATGTGTATAAAGCCCCCCTAGTAGCTAGATTTTGCTTTAATTGCAGCTGTCAGTCTTTTGGGTGACATTTTTACTATTTTGACACATCTAGAAACTAAAATATTCAACTTTCATGTCTGTTTTTTTAGGTCAGGACTTTGACTAGGTCACATGAATGTGCTTTGGTCACTGAAGCTGCTTCAGTGAACCTCCACTCTGGTCTCAAATCTTTTGTCGCATCGAACATGTTTCCCTCTAAGACCCTCACATCAGCTTCGACCAGCTTCCCTGTGCAAGCTGAAGGAAAGCATCAGCGCACAGCATGATGCTGCCATCACAGTGCTTCGAGTGTTCAGGATGATGTGCGAATTTTGGCGTCAAACTGCAAACTTCTTGCAGCGAGATTTCAACAATTTAAAATTTTTTTTATATGATTCTTTCCTTGTTAAAGGTTCAATTTTTTGGGAAAATCTGGATTTCTTTTCTCTGTAGTTCAGAGTGATGTCAGCACGCCCAGGGCCGCCATCTTGTTTAACAAGTGTGTTTTACAGCTTCTACTTATCTGGATTTGAATTCAGGTCAACTCTACAACATATTGGACCACCCGGTGGCTTTTATTGTTTCAAAAATATTTATTATTTCTTATTTAGAAAAGAAATTGAGAGAAAAAAAGGTGTTCAGACCTTTGGTTTAGATGAACGGCCTTGTCTTTGCTGTTACTTTTTCCAGGTTCAGATGATGGACTGATCAGTTTTCTTTGAGACGTTCAAAACATGTGGTTACTTTTATGATCAAACTGTGTTTTAAACCTCTTTGTTCACCTTTCACCTCTGTGTTCATCTGGGTTCTTTGTAACAAACCTCTCAGGCCGTCACAGAACCGTTTTTATTAAAGTACGCATAGGTGGACTGTGTTTTACTAATTAGGTCTCCTCTCAAAGCAATTGCATTTTATTTAGAGGTATTCGAGTGAAAGGGGTTTAATAAAAACGTGTTGTGAATTTTTCTGATTATTTTGTAAACAAGGAAGAAAAATCACAATTTTCTATTGGTTTTCTACATAAACGCCCAATAAAATGCATTGAAATTTGTGATTTTAATGTGATAAAATAAAAATTTTGTGAATTTTTGTAAAAAACTATTTACAAAATCACCAAACATTCTATAATATAACATGTTTCTATTTCAGGTTGAATTTAAGATGACATGGACTCTTGGACATGCTTTATATAAGGTAAATGTATAGAGATATATTCAATTATTTTTGAGAATATATAAGCAAAATCACTATTTTGTGTCAATCTTTCACACAAAGTCCTGATAAAATACATTAAACTTTCTGACTTTAAAGTGATAAATTATAAACAAATTGTGTAAGTTCTTTGCATGGCACCGTACAGTCATTAATGTGGATAAAATATTCTTTAATATCATATATATTTGTATTTCAGGTTGAATTTAAGATGACCTGAACTTTTGGACATGTTTTATACAAGGTAAGGCTATACAATTTGCTCTAATTTCTCAAAGAATATAATTTACATATTTATTATCCCAGCTGAGTGGATGCGTTTAGAAAGGTTCAGTGAATTCAAATGTTTTTTTTAAACCGAGTTTTGCCTGATAGCACTCAGCAGACTAGAACACTTGGTCAGCCGTTTTAGTCTGTGGCGCGATCGAAATGTCAATGCACCATCAGTATAATTCAATTACTCTGCCCTGAATCATTCTGTCATGATTAACCTAACAGATATGCGCTAACCATGGGCCAGTCTGAAAGCAACAAACAGGGAAGCTTTCTGTTTCACTGCATGCCTGTTGGAGTCAGTCCGGCACAATACTGTAGATTATGACTTATGTTGGTTAGCAACAAGTGGAAAGGTCATCAGGTGGTCACGTCCCGATTATCAGATGTTGCTGAAAAGTGAGAGACTGCGGGCATAAAGCCGGGCCTGTGGTTTAGCCTTGAAGCTAGTTTTGGAGATGGCCTCACATTACATTTCTGTCTTTGTGCTAATGTCACCCCATACCCCCCGACCAGCAGCACCAGAATAAGAGCTACATTCTGCCTCCACCGTACAATTGAGCCCTTCTTGGCCTGATATTTTCACAATGTTTTTGCACGGCCCCTTAGTACACGTGTGCACACGGCCCTCTGCGAGCAGCGGGGGCTGTTGATTCAGCAGGTCAAGCTGCTCACCTGATGCTTCAAATCTTGTGGAAGGTATTTGCTTAGAGATTTGCAGAACTTCCACTGTAAATATACTCCAGGTCACCAGTTAGATTTTCAAATACATTTCTCAGCGCCCACTCAGAGCTGCTACTGTTGATTATAAAAATGCACAGCCTTTCCAGAAGGTTTGAAGGCATTATTTGTGGGTCAGCCATTGCAGTACAGTATGGCAGTGTTGCATGGGTTAACATCTGACCAGAGGAATGTGTTCGGGTCATCAGGGAGAATTCCTCAGTGCTTTGTGACTAGGTCATTGCACTGACAAGAGTCTGCCACCTATTTTAGCATGCACACCCTCACTCTAATTCTGTCCTTTCCTCTCCTCTTTCTATCTTTTGCATTTCATCGTTCCCAGCTTTTGTTTGCTCTCGCTGTCTGTTTCTGTGTCTGGTGTCCCTTTTTATTTAATCTGTCTACTTTGCTGTCCTACTTTGCCTCACGTTTTTTCTCGCCCTCCCTCCTGGCTTTTATCCGTCCCCTTGCTCGCTCGTTTCGCCCTTGTTTTTCCTTTTTCACAATTCATGCCTTCAGGTGTTTCTGCACCAGACGCCATTATTCTGTCGTCGTTGAACCCCGAGCTCCACTTTTTAAATATTTTTCTGCCTCCGTGTCTGTCTTGCGTGGCGTATTGAGTTCAGTGCTGCAGGTGCTTTTGGAAGGGAAATGCTTTGAAAAGCCGCCATGCTTGTTTTCAGTGCGGTACAGTAACATACAGCTGGTCATGTATGATTTATACATCATGTTCCCACACACTGCAGCGAGGTCTGCCGTAGCAGCAGAGTGGAGGAGTTAGCTTTGGTTCCTCATTGGTTGGCAGCAGGGGCGACAGACAGACCCTCAGGTACTGAAGTGTTTCCGCCGATGGCAGATGAGCCAATTTGACACAGTCTGATCCTCACACATGTTCACTGGCCTAAATTAGCTTTTATTTGTTTTACACAGATGTGGATCATTATAATTTTAATATATAGAGAGTGAAAGACACATCAGGGCGTTATTATTTTCCTCTCTGCAGTGTTATTTTTATTCTGCAAAAGTCTTTTAATTAAACAGGTCTTCTAATTTTCTGTTGACGGTGTTTAAATAGACAACATATATACAATATTTTTGGAATCAAATCCGTGTTTACATTACACTAATTTCAGTGTCAGCTATGTGTGAAATTGTAAAACTATTTTAGGGAAGTCAGACTCAGCATTTTGGACTCATTAGATACCATTTCACTGACCATGTTTGTTTGTATGCGTTCGCCACCAAAGCCCAGACAGCGAGGAGAGGTCAGACGTGACTAATAGAAGCGACTGATGATATCACAGACAGCATCGTGCCGCTTTTGCTGCCCCGCTGCCCCGGCTTTAGGACACTGACGGAGGCAGCACTCAGGCACCCGTGGGTAACACACGCCAAAGCACATTAGAGGCAGGAAGATGGAGAGAAGCAGGAGAGAACGGCACAGAACACAGCTCAAGGGGACAGAGAGAGACAAACAATGAGACAGAGAGAAAAAGAGACAGACGGGTGGGGGGGTGTCAGATTTAACAGCAGAGAAAGCTGAAAAATAAAGCAGTGAGACATGATTCTTGCTTTGTTCAGCAGACTGTCTGGTTGGAGTTGAGGAATATATATATATCAGAATCAGAATTCCTTTATTGTCATTGTGTTAGAAACACACACACACACACATATATATGTTTATATATATGTGGGTGTAAAACCTCCAGAATTTAATTCCCACCTTGTCTTCTGTGTCATACCGTTATATTCTTCTTTCCCGTTTCACTGTGTTTAAAAAAATAGCAAAAACATAATGTTAGCGTCTTAGCAGCCAACATATAGGCGAAAGAAACTATCAAAATGTTAAATTGTTGCTTGACTTTCACTCTGCACTGGCCCCTTTTGTAGATAAAAAGATATTTTTATCTCCAGCTTCTCACATGTTCCCTCAGTTAATCTTGTTTATATCCATGGCCTCTGTCTGTCAGCTTTGCTCACTGAGTGAGATTGCCAGAGGTAAAAACGATAAGTTAACACTGGTGATATGAGTGACAGTGATGCATTTGAAGGACTGCTGAACTTGCTGCCTCGGACATTATTTTTCCTGGAAGAAGAAGAATGGATCTAGAAAGACTGAGGCTTTTCTAGATCCATCGAATGCCAGAAAAGAGTATTTATGATTCATGTGAAGCCATAACAGCTGATTAGCGGCTTAACAGATGCGATTTCAGTGGGTATAATTACACATATTATATTTATTGGATATTTTTCCTTCATAGTTTTCAGTTTTCCTTTTATTTTTCATACTTATATGACTATAACAAAATGTAATAAATTCACAAAAACAAATTCTTACCCACCTATTTAAAAAAAGTCATCTATATGAAAAAGTTAAACAAAAACAAACAGCTCTTCACTATTTAATAATCGATCATTCTGATGAAAAACTGGAACATTTATAGATTCTTTATGTAACCTCTTAAGCTTTTTTATACAGTTAGAAATATTGTAAAACATACAAATAAATAAATAATTCAATTCCCTTTTTAGATAATAAAATAAACATTTTATTGCCTTATGTGCAATAATATAGCGTTCCTTTAGTGAATTTGATCAAATGAAACTAAAACTATGCCACTAGAAGAGTTTTGGGTAAATCATATTTCCAGACAAAGGTATTTTTATATATCTCTTTACAGTTTTTGCTTAATTACGTCTCTGAATATGTTCTTTCTTTAGCAAATTGCCTTTTTTTAGTCTATATACTCCAGTTAACAATTAATTGACTACTAATTTAGTTGATGATTATTTCAATAATCAATTCATCTCAATTAATCCAATTAATCGTTTCAAATCTACATATTCCACATTCACATTTATGAAAGGTAATATATTTTATCCAGCGGGAGTCGACTCGGCTGGACTTGTCACCAGTGGTGCAGGAAAGCAAATAGTCAAAACTATAAAATCAGAAGCAGAAGTGAGTTACACTCAGTTCACTGAGTTACAAATATAAATAATGTAAAGTTTAAAAGATCCCAGGTCTTATCAAATGTGTCAGTGTGATTCTGAGTAGAACAATGACTTTTTTTTAAGACTGGCACAAGACTTGATGCGTAAAAGTCACAGAATAACCACTGGGCGGAGCAGCTGTCTCCCATCGCAGTAATATAGCAATATTTATATCACGAAGGATTTTTAGGAGTGCAGAAATTACTGGCTAGTCTTTTATAGGTGCTATTCTATAGGTACTTATGTAATGTTTGGCCAGTTCTGCAGTTATTCAGACTGGACACAAATTATATTGTCCAAAATGATAGCAGAGTTTAGGAAAAAGAGAAGAAATACGAAAACAGGCATAAATCACAACTTCACCAATATTAGGTTTTTGCAAGATTTCCTAACATGTGCAGCCTGACACTATTTTAATTTATAAATGTTAAGCTTTTCCAGACAGTAATGAATAAATCTGTATTTGAAAATATATTGACATGAGTTACAATGTAAGCAAATAACTTTTAGAATTACAAAACCAGATAAGTTTTTTATATTAAGTTTTAATTTTGTAGATAAAATTCATTTTGTACTCGTTACTATTTGTTTCTCTATTGCCCTGGCGTGTAGCTAAATATTATCAAATACGGCTATTCAGGAATGTCTACCTTGAAAGCGTAAAAAAGAAGAGTTAAAGTACTAATTGTCATTCTTGTCAGGACTGAGGGAACCTTGAACTCGAGGTAGATAGCACTTGTTCACGGCACTCAGCTCCCCTGTGTTTGTTTTCACCACAATCACTTCAAAGTCACATTGAGTTCCGACTCCCAAATGACTCTTGAAGCTTTGATATTACAGCCAGAAGATGAGCTGGTACACAAAACCCAGCAAACATATTTTGCTGTTTCAAGGTCACTCTCCAAAGCAAAAGCATCGAAAGTATTTTTGAAACATTTCTTCAATTTTAACCTAACAATTTTAGCTTTAACATCAAAAAAGGCAAAAATCTCAAATTTTTATATTTTCTTTTACCTTTTTGTGACATTATAATTTATGCTTGTCAGATAAAATGCATACCTTTATAAAATTGTATTGATTACTTTAAAGAAGTTCATATCAGACAAAATTAAACAATAATAAAATATTAATATGACTAAATATAAATGTAAACAAACATCACTGTTAGGAATGATGAAGCTAAAACCTTTTTTTTTAACTGTTTTGGAAACAGTTTTCTGTTTTATAGTTTAGGCTTTTTGAGTTTAAATCATCAATAATAATTAAGATCATGCTTCAAACTTGTATAAATTACATGAATCTGGTATAGTAGAAAATTATTAAGACAACAAAAGTTTAGTACCACTCTTACAGATTGAGCAGTGAACAGATTTGACCTCTAAGTTTTGCTGTTTTCAAGTCTGAACGTTTTCTTTATGTTCACATATTTTGCATTTTCTGAAAATATCAGCAACTTACCCTAGAAGGTCAAAATTGAGTCTTCACTAGCTTGAAGTATGAGATAGTATGCATGAGTTTACATCAAAAATGTAAAAAGTCATGTTTTTAAACCCATTAATTGTTCAACCATTACCTTTCTTAAGACTTAAAGTAATTTAACGAGTTTTCCAGTTTTTTGAAGCGTAGCACAGTGCTCCCCCTCCCCCGCCTGCTGCTGCACAGGGGGGGTAGAATGAAGACAAATTCATTTGGATTTGTTGTATTACTAGAACCAAAAGTTTTTTGGATCAAAATATCAATAAAATATCATACAAATAACATTAAAACCTCTGCAATAAACAAAAAGTCGCATTAATCTATCAGCAATGAGCATATTTGTTGATTCAAATTAAAAATATACATATATTTTCATATATTAATTATATTGTGAAAATCTTAAGCCATTTAGCTTCAGAAAATGTAAAATTTAGTCTCTACTACAGCTGCTGTGTTCAGTTATTATTTTTGAGATTTGAGATAATTATTTATTTATTTTTAACCACGATCACACATCTGTGCTTATCAACAGGCTGCTTCTGACTAAACAAACCAGAATTTATACTAAGTAATTTGCTGTTCTATAGAGATAAAGTTCATAAATTCCAGATGAAATGATATCCTGTCATGAAGCTTTTTATCATATAAAAGATAAACTAAAATCTAAAACTATCGGAAAACATTCTTCATTTACATTGCTTAAATAGATTCTATTAAAGTGATTCATTATAAGCTCATTTAAAAGCAGCACTAATTACTGTCTTTCACACCCACTCTCCACTAAAGACCACCATCAATAATGCAGCAGTGCCCCCTTTGTCTCAAGTCCACGGCTGCTGTAGTCCCTCTGCGTTTCCTCGCTTAACCATCCGTTTTACCTGCCAGTGACCTCAAAGCTCTGAGGTTTTGGCTTCAGAAACGAGTGTTTTTTCCCCATGTGCACAGTTAATCGGCGAGCTGCTGGTAACACATCGCCACATCCAACCAACCCACCGACAACCGTCCTTCTCCTCCTCCTCCTTCTGCTCATGCTCCTCTTTGGTGCATCACCCCATTCGCTTGCTTTCAATCTCTCCTTTCCTCTCCTTCACTCTCTGGTTTAATATTGATCTGAATTCATTTGTTTTCTATTGATCCGCCACTCCACCCTCTGCCGCATTGAGCAGACGCTAGGACACATACCACGCACACAAAAGCTTTCTGATGCAGCTCTCTGGCAAGCCTTGCACGTGAGCATGCACAAACACCTAAAGGAAAAACGCATTTACTAACCCACCATACATGTAAGGTCATGAACGCACAATCACGTCAGAGAGGCACACTTGCAATCACGTGCTCTTCATGGGAGATTTAAGAGGCTGAAAACACAATGGCTTTTAAGAGGTTTCAAGTAAGCTAATGATATACAAAGGAGCCCGAATTCTGTATTGATCCAACACTTTAGCAGCGAGATGAAAACACAGGCCGTCTAGAGCTGCCACGGGCGTGCGACACAATTAAGACTGCAGTTCATTTCTCAGGTTGGCTCAAATGTGCTTAGAGTCATTAGAGCAAAAAAAAAATGAAAGGAGTTCATTTTGGTGGTAATTGTGCAGAGCTATATGAATCAAGATGACATTTGTACCAGTAATTGTGTGGATTTTTTATTTTTTTTTAAATCGGTCTTGACTGAAAAGGGCCTTGATATTGAACGAAGTCAGCCAAGGTTAAAGCAAAACTCAACAGCATTTTGTAAATACTGCTAGAAATTTGGAAAAATGCAATGACTAACAGTGAACAGACATATTGTTGAAACATTTGGTTTTGGTTGAGTTATGTTAATTTCACCCTGAATGAGAAAGGATATACAGCTCTGGAAAAAATTAAGAGCCCTCTGCACTGAGTGAATATGAACTTGTCTTCTTTGCATTATTTGATGTCTGAAAGTTATTTTAACCATTTCTCATATTCTGCAAATAAAGATTACATTTTTGCTTGGAAATTCAGAGACATTTTGTCAGTAGTTTATAGAATAAAAGATCAATGTTTATTTTACTCAAACATTAGCCTGTAAAAAGTTAAATCAGAGAAACTGATAATTTCGCAGTGGTCTCTTAACATTTTCCAGAGTTGTATATACATTTAAGTCATTCCTCACATGAAAAAAAAAACATTGGCCCTCATTAAGTTGGTATTAGTTTCAGTTTAAAGCAATCTCTTTGCTTTAAACACCCACTTTAAATATTATTATATTTAAAGATATGGATGGATTAATTTAGCCCATTGTAAAAGCTGGAAAACTTTTTAACTGTTAAGTTTCATTTATGGTGTCCTTGTGAATAACTAAAGTATTCAATATCAACTAAAATCCAAATAATGCTCTCCATGTAAACAATGGTTGACTGAAGGCTGATGGAGATTAATTTTATCAATTTAATCAGTCAATTGTCTTCTAGGACAGAATGTTAAAAAGCTAGTAATTTTACACAGAAGTTTCTCATTTTACCCATGTTTTCCATAATTAATCTTAAATCACATTGACTTTATTTCTTTTTTTGATTGCATTGGTGGCATTTTTCACACTGGCTGATAAATTTAGAGGTTACTGGCTGTGGCACCAATGCAAGGCAGCAAACAGTCCTGTTTGATAAAATTCAGTGCTGGACATTCAGTCTTCCTGAAGGTCAGCTTAAAATAAATGTGCTTCTTAATATTGTTCATTGTAACTTCTTTTAGAAGTTACAATTGGAACATTCTTAGTTATCAGCTTCCAGCTCCTTCTTCTGTTAAAAGAGCTTATTTAAAACTGGATTTTAAACTGCAGATTTTGCTGCAGTAGGAGTGTGTTGAATTTAGGTAATTCAATTCAAAAATACTTTATTAATCCAAAGGGAAATTAAACTTTGTGACTCATATTATCCAAGTTCCTTCAGAGTTGTTGTAGCTGCAGATAGGAAGGATTTCCTGTAGCAGTCAGTATTACAGTAGTTCTAAAGAAGCCTCTGACTAAAGACACTGTTGTGTAAGTGTCATGCATTGGAGAGATGCAGTGGAGCCTAAAAACACCGAAATAGTTACATTTACCATGTGTAAGCTAAGTAAATAAAATAATTGAATTCTTAATTTTAGTAGGAAAGTAGTTTATTAAGTCAACTTAAAAAAGTTATTTATCATACATCACTGGATTCACAATAGTCATAAAAAGTCTTAAATTTAACTTATTGAAACCAGGAGAAAATCTGTTTTCTATGTTAATCTTCCTTTATGATAACTAGTTTGTTTTTACTCTCCCTTCTTATTTAGGACTAAAGAGTCATATAAACTGATTTGTTTGTTTTCATCGCAGCCTCAGTGTTAAATATCTCAATCAAAGGTGTACATTTGACAGTCCACTGGTTTTCCTTGTAGACTCTAAAATAAAGTTGAAACAAATAAATGCAACAATTAATTTGTCTACTTATTAGTGTGAGTTGTTGAAGGTCTACTTTCTGGTATTTTTGATGAAAACTGTCCCATTTTGTCCTCACCCTGACCAAACTTTTCAGCAAGTTTTAACCTGTCACTTCAAATTTTTGGTTGATGGCATCAAGTTGCCATGACACCAGACTATTTGGGCTGCCCTCTGACCTCCTTTCAGGACACGCTGTGCTCAGTCAGAATGCATCTCGAGCAGCGGCTTGAGTTCAAAGAGCCGGAGAGGAAAGGAGCGAGGGCGGGGTGAGGCTGTGTGTCCTCCATGTTAAATTAGATAAGATGCCTGAGGCCGTACATGCTGACAGGAACACACAAACCCAAACATATATCTGAGGAGAACATGCCAACACAAAACACACATTTCTGTCATTGTTTCATTGTGTTGCAATGTCATAATTATTGCATTTGTTTGACTAACTCCTGTTAGATTGTATATTTTGTCAGTATTAATGCATTATTCATCTCCAGTGTCTAACTGTCTTTGTTGTTTGTCTGTGTTTGCATTACTCTCTTCCTTCATTTTACAATATTCAGTTTATTAATTAGTTTCCTAATGAACACGACATGTTTTAAGCTTCCTTCATCAAAAATCCATTTTATTTCTTTGATTGTCACTAAGTATATTACTTAGAAATAAATGTGTGTAAATGTATTGATCAATCTCAAATTTATTTTATATCATTTATTGTATAGCTAATCTAATAATGTTTATCTCCTTACATGCTATGTCCAACGATAGACGCCTTCCCAGTGAGAAGAGAGGTAAAAGTTGCTTCCTGCTTTAAAGGTAAAGCTTTCTACAACATATTTTTTCGTGTTTAAAAGGAAAAGGAATGAAATTAGCTTGACATGTCAGAAAGTTTGACTGGGAATATCAGTAATCTAACATTTATGTCACTGTTTAATGTTTTCTATCTGCATCAGTCGCTCTCTCGTGTTCCCTGATTTTTATAAAAGCTCTTAAAGATGCTGTAATATTGTTTAAATGAGTCTTTTTCTTGCATAGCTACAAAGAGACTGCTTTCTGGTTTCTTATATTTAAAACAATTAGTGTTTTACATTATTAAATGATTGCATAAGTTAAAAACACACAACTTTACAACTTTATAAAGTTGTTCTCATTTGTTTCTTATCAAGTCCTTTTTTAATCCCTTTTTATATCGATTCTCTTCTGACCTTCAAAGCACAACTCAAAACTCTTCTGTTCAAGTTAGCTTTCTCACTTTTATATATATATTTTAAAGTTATTTCACGGTTTTGTGTCTTTATAGCCATTTTTTACTGTTTAATTTGTGTTTTTAGTGTTGTAAAGTATGCTTGGGTGTTTTGAAAGGCGCTAACAAATAAAATGCATTATAAATACTATTATTATTATTATTATTAATGCAGTATAAACTTTAATATTTTAAAAAATAATTGGTATACATCTTTAGTAATCCATATCACCCATTTTCCTTTCTGCATTAGTTAGACACTAACGCAATATTTTAGTTTGAAAACTTAAACAGTTATCCTGTTCAGTTAATGATGTTTTCACAGTTTAAAACCATCCACTTTGCTTTAGTCAAAAGTACTGAGGCTATTTGGAGGAGGTGGTGTCAGTGTGGTTTCAAATTAACACTAGAGCGGTTCTTTTGTGGTCTGGATGTGGTCCGACTCTGATCCGACACAGCTGCAAGATTGAGCCAACTGCCCTCCTGTAGCCAGGTATCAGTTGCATTGTGGGAGGAGGTAGAGTAAGGAAACTAAGAGACAATGGCCGCATGTGTTTTTTGTAAAAGATAAAGCCTGATGCAACTTTCAACATGTCCAAACAACAACATCATCTCGGATAATTTAGCCGGAAATGAACCAAGTAATGCAGTAATGATATAAATAAATTCTTCATATTTTGTGCTAGCTCAGAACGTAGCATTTGCTTCCTGTATTTCCACTTCTGACCAGCAAATATGCTGAATGCTGTTGCATGGTTTGTAGTGACAGGTTTAAGTTTGTTTGAAGTTTTTCTAAAAAAGAAGTTGAATCACCATAAAAAATTAACAAACTCAACAACAGATTTGAGCCAAAGTAAACAAACTAGAGGTCTGAAAACAACACTGAGGAATATTTCACCCAAATTGTTTTTTCAGTAAGTAGAAGTAAAATCTTTTCTTTTTTTTTTTTTTTGATTGATTGATTGAGCGGTTTCTCCAATGAAAAGAGTCGAATCTTCGTCGCTGAGAAAATCTGCCCACAGAGACTCAGACACAGACGAAGACAGATAATTTAGAAAGTCTCTGCAGAAGTAAATTGTAACACAGACATGCACAATTTGGGTTGGAATGGTTCATGGATGCCTAAGCATTAAGACAAACTCCAACAAATGACTTCACTCTGCTTTGTTAAAAGGAATCTATAAAATGTTGTTTTCTTACCGAGAATTTATTACGTGTCTGTTGTAATAGAAGCTCTTCTGGGTATGTGGATGGATGGAGGGATGAAGAGAGAAATATAAGTGAAATTAAGGTGAGCTGCTGTGCTAAAAATATGAGCCTGTGGATAGACAGAATAAAGGATGAAGCTGATATTTTTAGAAAGCACATCTAAAGGAGGAATCTTCCATCACCAAAGCTCACCGTAGCATTTGAACATTATACCCGCTCTAAATGTTTGCGAGAGCGCGCTGGAGATCATGGAAGAAGATTTAGATGCTCCTCTCTCATCCCAATCAAAAATGAAAAATCGGATCGGCCTTGTGTGGGAACGGTTCTGACCTGAGATCCCCACTGGTGCTAATGCATCTCTTCAGTAAAAATGGTGTTTGGTGCAAGGCCAGGATAATTATTCACAAACCATAAATTATTAGCTCTCTTAATTTGATTCTATAGTGTGATTTATCACAAACCCCTCCTTTTTTTTTTTTTTTTTTTTGCTCTCATAGTACCTTATTTACAAAGCCAGAAATCGTTGCCATGGGAACACAGCACCAGGCAACCTCAGTGGCTTGGCATGATGCCCAGTGGTTGCTAGGGCAGTGTTGTCAATGGCTATTGGGTTGTGTGGACCTGTGTGTGTGTGTGTGTGTGTGTGTGTGTGTGGGTGTGTTTGTGTGCGTGTGTGTGTTTTCTATGTGAATAGAAGTGAATATTATGTTTTTAAATTACTATGAATGTAAAAATCAGGATTAAATGAATAGATCAAAGCTATTTCATGTTTTTAGGCTTATTTTTATGCATCTGCAATGTCATTTTTATGAGATAATGTGTGGCATTTTAAATAGTTTTTATTGCTGGTTTCGGTTTGTGAGTGTCATTCAAGCCTTTTCTAAATGATTTTGTCTAATGAGGATTCGTGTTATTAGAATTATGAATGTCTCATCTATGAAACAGTAAATTAGTAGAGATGCTTTGATCAATTTTTTATTGGTCAATTGATATCGATATCCAGTTTTCTTTGGAATCTGAACTTGCAAATCCGTTTTTTCTAAACAGGACATAAAATATTAAAATTTTGCTCCATGTTTCTTGATGATAGTTTTGAATCCAACAGAAACTATTCATCAAATAGTATATGTCTAACTTTAATCATATTCTTACAGAAACAACAAAAAAGCTTGTTGATTTGTAAATAGAAATTCTTAGTTTTGATGTGCTTCAGATTTTCTGATCACCAATCAGAGTCGATCAAGGGATATTTGGCCCATTTTGATCTCAAACTGATTGATTAGTTCATCTAAGAATTAGAAAACATTATTAGGTCTGAGAGTCAGTTTTATCTTCCGTAAAATGGAAAGGAAACTTATTCAGTATTCTTTGTTTGATGTTTTTGCATGGAGAAAAAAGAGAATGGAGCTACAACTTAAAAAAATTGTTTTAATTGTAGTCAAATTAAGTTTGTCAAATTTATTTTATTTCTGTTTGTTTAACATAAGTTAATAAACGTAATATATTTACTTGGATAAACTTAATTTGATTGCTTGTAACAAATTAATTTTTTTTAATTGGATCTATTTTATTTTTTAAGTGAACAGTTTGTAATTTTGCTCAGCAGGTCTGTTGTTTTGTCAAAAATAATTGAGTACTTTAATTCTGTGAATACAAGAAGATTTTAACTTAAATTTTCTATCATAAAAAAAACCTTTACAGGATTATTGTAGTACGTTTATATACTCCAACCCATATACTGAAGATTCATGCTTTAATTCAATAGAATTGTCTTTTTTTTTGGTTTCTAAAGTGTAATCCCAAACCTCCTTATTTGACCCAGGAGCCGCTGTTTTTTTGGCCCCGGGGCCACCCAGGCTTCTGGTAACGGAGGCTCCTGTTTAGACATGCCTGGGCACATTGGCACAGAGCTGGCGTTGGCACAACCATGCCGCATGCATGCGTGACCGGACTGCGAATGAGTCGGTGTGAGAGGTTTAAATGGGTAGAAGAGGAATCAAGGGGATGAAGGGAGGAGATTCAAGTGGTGCTTGTCAGAAAAAAAAAAAAAAAAGTTTCAAAAGATTTGGGAACTTTAAGTGTGCGGTGATGAAGGACGAATCAGAGACGTGTAGAGGGCAGAGAGGAGAGTCAAAGAGAGGCAGTAAAGGGTGGGCGGAGGCGGGCTTTTACAATAGCAGGAGGGAGTGGAGAGGTGGGGCTTTTGTTCGAAACGTAGCCAAAAAAATGTTTGTCAAATATGTGAAACTCTCAAACCAATTCAAATGGCGTTGCCTTACGCTGTCACATTTATCTGATTTATCACAAAATATTTTTAAATAAACCAATCAGCTACTGCATCCGGCTGTGTTATGTAATTCAAAGTGACGAGCACATATAACCCTGTCAGCTAATAGAGTGAGTTACCTTATGTGGAATCAGCAATAAGCTGCTTCCACTTCTACATCTGCAGTTGTATTTTGGTGCATTGACCAAGCTGAATAGAAGGCCTTGCAGCTCAGCTGTGCAGCAGCCATCAAATAATCCATGAGTCCTTGAGGCACACAGCAGCAGTGTCAAAACACATCCATTGACGGCTAATAACAGCCAATTTGCTGCTTTCGCTGGAGATCACCTCGGCGAGATGTCGAATGTGTGGGTGAACCCCATTATTTATGGAACATAATAAGAGAGATTGACTATATGGTGCCGTTGCTCCAAGCTGCCATCCAATTATTTGGTCATTAAATTCTATTTGATACGTTGAAAACTAATGTAGAACAAGGCAATTTTAGCAGCACTCTGAAAATACCTTGTTTAACAGCACAAACCAGCAGCCTCCTTTCACTGCAAGGCGCTGTCATCATGACACCATGCAGGGAATCTGATGAAAGTATAGATGCATAGATACACACTTTGTTTGCCAAATTGATCTAATTTAACAGGCTGCAAATTTAAAAATCTACTTGGTCATTATTTGACTTGTTGCTGTGCTCACATTGTCTGTGGTGTTTAGCTGATAGCTGTAATTTCTACAGGTGACATTTTGCATTAGGTAACCTTTGATAATACTCAGAGTTTTGCAGCTGAATTGTTTCAGGGCTGCTGCATAAAACATCTTTCTTTTCACTTAGTAGTCAAAATGGATGAGTAATCTTTCTAATACAGTGCTTGCAAAAGTATTCACATACCTTAAACTTTTTCATATTTTGTCTTATCACAACCACAAGCTTCTGTGAATTTTTTTAAACATTATTTTTATTCTGGACTTTCAGAAGAACCATTCAAACATTTGTTATGCTCTTAATAACAGTAGAGGCGAACTTATATAGTCCAAGATTGCATGGATTTTAATTGCACTTTCAAGTTCGTACACAAATAACAT